AGTGGTTTCTTCTTTTTTCTCTGAGTCTTGGAATGTTGTAACGCAGGCTCCTTTTCTACTGGAAAAGTTAGAACTTCTGAACCAGAATGTAAATTAGGAGTAACATTATAACTCCTACTAGCACCTACATTTGGAATAAAAGAACTTTTACAAGGAGCAACATGCTGTTTTGTAGTAGCACCCATTGAACTGGTAACTGGAGCCTCATGAGCAGTTTTTAAAGATGGGGAAAAATGATTTTCATTGTTTTTCTTTTGCACATGTTTTGGCACTCTTGGAAGTTTGTTTTTCTTTGCATGTAGCAGCTTGTGATTCTTTTCTACTAATTTTTCTCTGTCAATATCTGAACTTTCACTGGAGCGATCTAAGTTTCCCACCAAACCATCTACAGATGGAGGAATTTTTAATATGCTACTTTCTGACTTACTGCCTTTTGGCATTGACTTTTTGCTCTTATGCTGTCTTTTAACTGCTGTGCTTGGCCAATTGGCATCTCTATTTTCCTCATCTGAATGCACCAGGCTGTCTGATGTCCTACCCTCACTTGAACCTTGACTTGTTTTGGCCCGCACTAAAGCGAGAGCATTTTTTACTGTAAACTGCCCATTTTTGCCATCTGGTGGTGATTCCCTAGTCCTTTCCCTAACTTTCTGTAAAACTTTGGCTGCAGTAGCATTTTTCAAAACAGGGAATCTGGCCATAGCACCATTAACTGAAGACTTTTCCTCAATCTTTCTTGGCTCAGAAGCTAGACTATCTTGTAGCATCAAATTCATGGGGTCTTCCTCCTTTTCTCTATCATCCAAACTGTTTTTACTGTTTGACATTTTCATCCCGACTTGATTTAAAACATCTTTAAGAACAGCTCCAGCCTCACGCCATTTCTTAAGTTTGGTCCTTTCATCAGTTGTGTCAGACTCTTCATCCTCATTAATACTAGGAGCTTTTTGAAAATCCCCATTAAAATGTGTTAGATGAGGCAGGGAGACATTATTGTCTTCTGTCACATTCTGTGGCAGTTTTGGCCTAGCACCCCTATGGACGTATTCTAGGTGTGCTTTCGAATACTCCTTTACATTAGGTGGAAGACATCCATCACATTCCTGACCTGATAAAGGCAAGGTATTGGGCATGTCTTCATCGAATGTATTTTCATTCAGCTCTGTCATTCTCTTTGGACCTTGTAAACTCTGTGCAAGGTGTGGCATAGAATTTGCCTCGTCTCCATTCAATGTTTGAAAGTGTTTGACAAGCGCTTTGTTGGACCTGTTTTTGGAACTGCATGAGGCATCCTTAACACAATTTTCATCTGATGCAGTTACTGTTACTGGGTCACTTTCCTCTGATGTCACTGGGACTGTGTCACTTTCTTCTGGTGTTAATGTGAGTGGGTCACTTTCATCCGATGTAGCTTTTTCAGCATTGGCACTTGAGGTGGTTCCCATGATGCAACTGGACAAGTATGTCCTTATCTAAAATGTAAAACAATAAATCATACACCAAACAAAATACTACTAGATCAGTAAGCATCTGTCATAAACAATGCATCTTTAAAAACTAAAGGTATACTGCAGTCATGACAATGTCTAATTTATGTTTCCCTTGGTTGCAAAGTTTCTTTTATCATATGTACATATTCATAAGCAAGAAAACCTAAACTAAACTTGACAGAGCAATCTTGACAGAGCTATCAGAGCAATCTCACCAACAAAAGCTCTGAGAGAAACTTCGGGGTCCAGACATGAAACACTGTTTTAGATCTGTATATCTGAACATGTATAATGGGATAAAACACTTAATCTTGACCCTTGAGAATTGAATTAACAATCTCAGAATTCTGTGATTCTGCACAAAAAGCTAATGTTGGTTGTAATGTCTGGGGCCTTTCAGTGCAAAAGGGTTCAAACTTGAGAGTGTATGAGAGAAGGGGACTTTCCCTTGGTTGCAAAGTTTCTTTTATCATATGTACATATTCATAAGCAAGAAAACCTAAACTAAACTTGACAGAGCAATCTTGACAGAGCTATCAGAGCAATCTCACCAACAAAAGCTCTGAGAGAAACTTCGGGGTCCAGACATGAAACACTGTTTTAGATCTGTATATCTGAACATGTATAATGGGATAAAACACTTAATCTTGACCCCTGAGAATTGAATTAACAATCTCAGAATTCTGTGATTCTGCACAAAAAGCTAATGTTGGTTGTAATGTCTGGGGCCTTTCAGTGCAAAAGGGTTCAAACTTAAGAGTGTATGAGAGAAGGGGACTTTTTAAAAGTAAAACAAAATATGATTAAAACATGAAGAATTAATGATTGCCTCAGCACAAGTTGCCATAAAATACATGTATATTTGCTGAAGGGGAGTTTAATGAAATGGATACACAAATATGTTTTATTTCATGATTTCGTAATGGCAAATTTTGCTGAAAGTTTCCAAAGAAATCATGCTTTAAGGCTTTAAACCAAAGGTTTTAAAACAGTCAGGCTAAGAGCTGCCAAAAGCAACTAAGGCCCCATGATTCAGAATGGATTATACAGGTACTTACTGATTCGCTGACTAAATATGGCCAACCACAGTTCAAAAGCAATGCTCTTGACTCTTGATGGTCTCTCTGACTCTACATGCGCCTTAATTGAACCAGATTAAATCTCTGCTCTGAGGTTTAATTGCTAGGCCCCTGCAGCTAGCGACGGCGCATGTGGAGGCAGGGAGCATGAGGAATAAGCGGCATCCCTTTTGACCTATAGTTGGCCATATTTTGTTGAAGGATCAGTAAGCACTAGGATCTTCCATTCTGAATGGGGCCTAACAGGTTTAAATCAGAATGCCTCGTCCTGGCATCTAGGCATGGAATTTGGCATAAGGAACTGTAACTGTTAGTGTTAGGATACACAGAGCCTAATGTTTTTCTTGCAATATGAGGAATTAACCTTGTTTGATGCCTGCTTCAACAGCATAAATATATTATGTCTATTTCATACTTATCATACAAAGGTGTCTTTTCATTTACTGATAGTAAGGTTTAGTCTAAGGTCCTAAAAAGAGTGAGTCACAAAATTCAGGTTGTGTTTTTTTATGGAAGCTTACTTTCAACTATACACAATTGATATCTAAAAACCTTATTAATTAAGGATTGTAGCAAAACAGTATTGAAATACTTGCCCTTCAATTATTCATTAATTTAAATATCGTTCTTGCATCGAAATTATCTTGCCAGGGTAGCACCTTCTTTTTTGTCGAGTTACCAATATGTTTTGATGTAGCTTCGAACTTTCATGTTTTGTACGTATGGGCTGTGTATTACATTTGATCCATAAAAAACGCACGTATATAAAAATGATTGTTATGAATCTGTTTATATAAAAATCATAAACCGAAATAATTGCATACCCTAATTCTAAACTAAATCTGTTTAAGAAAGTAACTCTGCTTAATTTGTTGTAGCTGCGAAGACAACACGAGTGGTGTGATGTTACAAGTAATCAAAACATGAGTTCTAATTGTTATATGGAATAGTTACTTACATCCAGGTAGGTATTATCTTGTCGAAATGACACATTGTATTAGTATAATTAATAGGATAGACCACGACCGACAGTCAAGGAGCATTTTAGTAGATTATCAAAATGTCAATACTACACGTAGCAGTGGCAACCATTTCTCGCACTGCCATTGCATTGGAACCTTTAGACTCGGCCAGGAAATTTCAACTTCCTTTCGTTAAAATGGAAATATCAGCAGCATGGCAAGGCTTTCTACATTAATATCTTGTTGCTTGAAGGGCAATTTGTAACTTGAAGACATTGGCATTATTGATCGAATATGTGGAACAGTACAGTATTCCTAGTTATTAAAAGTAAAGGCCATAAATTGTGGCATGGACTCAGAACCTTTCTCAATAAACCTGACATCTCATATCTCATAGTCAAACATGATTAATATCCCTACAGCTTGAATAATATTCTTTTACCTTTCAGCATGTTTCACTATCCTGATCCATTTAAGGGACAGAAATATGAGTCTGTGATCAACATTGCTACAGCTTGAGTAATATTCTTTTACCTTTCAGAATGTTTCGCTCTCCTGATCCATTTAAAGGACAGAAATATGAGTCTATAAAGAAGGATTGTATAAAGAGGGGACAGCCATTTGTAGATCCAGAGTTTCAACCCAACAACAAGTCATTATTTTACAGTAAAGTGGACAGTGACATTGAATGGAAAAGACCTGGTGTAAGTAATGTTCACAAACTTATGTCTTCTTTTTTTTTTGTATATAAAATGTATTCTTTGAGCACTGTATGTAACTTACTTGTATTTGATGGTAAGTATAAGATTGTAACTATTGAGGTTTATTTTCTGGTACAAAAATAACAGTTGTAATAAAATGTGCAATGCAGTGCAATACACACACGCACACACACACACACAAAAAAAAAAACACTTTAGCTCCTGTGTGTAGTGCATTTCATGAAATATTAAAGCCCTCAGATATTGGCAATAGCACCCCAAAAGATGAAAATCACTCCTGAATAACACCACACAAGAGAGTCATCCTTAAGACAAGTGCCATGAATTAACTTTTTTGTAAGACAGTAGCTCTTTGTGCAAGGGGCTTAAGGTTCTGTTGCATGCATAAACTGTATTGGATATTTATTTACATTTTTGGTTGTTTTCATTAATATCAATTTATGATAATATATATTTTTGTAAAGTGTTACCTTTAATTTATTTTGTTCTCAGGAGCTGTGTAAAGTGCCCCGCCTGGTGGTGGAAGGTGTCACTACAGATGACTTGAACCAAGGAGAGTTAGGCAACGTGTGGTTTGTCACAGCATGCACGAGTCTAGCACATCTTCCCAAACTTTGGCAAAAGGTAAGTTGTTTATACTTCAACCACAATGGAAGCCATGCTAAAATATTATAGTTTAGCCAGTGATAAAAACTTTGATTTTGCTGAATAATGTACAAATTGTTTGATTATTTTGTTTTAGTTCAAAATTGGAAATTTGCTGAAAAATAAGGTTATAGAGCTAAACAAAAGGGTAAATAATACAGGCAATTCAAACCAAGATATTAGAAAGGTTTGTTGTTTTGTCAATTGTACATAATCCTTTGCTAGATTAATTAAGACTGTGTGATGTACCTGTAGTGTGTCCATATGTTTAATGCTCTAGATACATGAATTGGCAACCCAAATTGCAGTTTTCTGTTGATATTTATTATGTTAACTGTAATGAATAAAGATGCAGTTATATGTGGTTTTTCTTCAATTATCACTTTTAGACAAATCAAAGTGTCTAAGATAAATGTCTATAGATAAGATTATGTACCTTTAGCAAATTCCTTTTAGAGCATAATTTCACTAAGTGACTACTTTTATTTATAAATGTTATTTCTTCTGTCCAGTTGGTCTATATGTAGTTCCATGAACAACTATCTTTTATCCCCCCTTCATATGTTACATTATCCCTTTGACAGCCTTTACAGAAATTTCATATAGATTGCATTGTATTGGAAATTGACCCAAAGTCCTAAAGGGTCATGTAGACAATGTTTCCTTTAAGACATCTGATAGAATTCCAGACCTATAGATATCTGTGTTAATCCTAGAGTCCCAAAGCATTCCGTAGGACATCCTGTAATGTGTATGAAATTTCTGTAAGGCAGTCCTAGGCATTTAAGGGATGACAACTTTTCATTTTGTCAAAAGTACCATAAAATGGATTCCTAGGGTAAATGATAATTTCCCCATACTTTCAAATGGTTAATGAAACTGGTCCAACATTCAGAGTTAGTCAATCAGATTTTTTAAATAAAAAAGTGTGGTTTTTGTAATATATTCTCTTAAGAGATTATTACAGAGAGTGGCCATCAATGGTGGCAAGCACACATTCCAGAATAATTGCAAATACCACTGTTTTTAGTGGTAAAATAGAATTAATTATATATTTTGTGTTGTTTACAATGTATTTATTATGGAGTTTTGAATCTCATTTGAAAGGTTATTATTCCTTTAACATTGGCCTCATACCAAATGCAGCAGGACCACTAGAATTGTGTAAATTTTTTTCAGCTACTGGTCACTATTGCTGCTTTGTGTCAGTAGATACTTGGCCCAGGATACTTTTAAAATCCAGTAGGCTAAGTTTTAAGAACAGACTGCTTTGCTGTATCAATTCCATATTATTAAATACTCACATGGCACATCCTTAGTGATAGTCCACATTATTATTTACACCATAGATCCTTTAATACTACTGATAATATATTCTGGTAATTTATTCCAACACATAAATCTCTGCCTTTCAAGAAAAACACCCGGCTTCAATTGCTTAAACCAGTGAAACAACAGTTCATCTAGTTCTTGATTTTTGCTGCACCATTACTGCAATTGAAGTGTTCAAGGATCATTGCTTCAGTGGATGTTGTTATTCAAAACAACAGTTTAAGTAATGTTTTCATTATTCATAATCTTGCCCAAAGTATTATAATCATTCAACTTTATCTACCTTAAGTCACAGTGGATGTTGGTAGCTGGTCAAGTGTTTGGATAGGCAATAGTATGGGTAGTGTAGATAGTATGGGTGGTAATAATTTTTGTTTAGTGGGAAATTGGTGTAATTAGCTTAATATTTAACCTGCCTTGAATTCCCAGAGATCAGTAAAATAGAATTCATTATTTTTTTATTTACCTTATATGTAATAGTAAAAATCATTTGCTTTATCCACTGGTTAAACTAATTATATTTTAAAGTCATGAATCTCTCTCTCACTCTCTCATGTTTTTTTACACTGCACTTTAATGCACAGTAATATTTGTTAGAAACAATCAATGGTAACCATTGCAGTTATCAAAGACTGTTTGCGCACTGTAAACCAACATTGTCAACAAAGCCTGTAAAGGTGATGCTTGTTGAATATGTTATTGATTTTCTCCCCGTTTTCATTTTTGCCGTATGAATACCATATTGATCTTTGTCCTTGTTGATTTATGTGGTGGCCAGTGTCTTTATTTGACAAGATAATGTTTTAAGTGAAATTATTACTGTCAGAGCAATTATTAGTGCAGCCATAATGAGTAACCTTCAAATCGATAGAAATAGCTGATGTTATTGCCACCTCTATATAAAAACAATATTGATTTGTTTTTACCCATTAATTTTTATTTTTACTGGATGTCTATGATTGTTTAAATGAATACTCAGTAAGTTGACAACATTTTATCAGTGTATTTGTGCATAGGTTTTATGAGGCGAGGGGGAGATTAAATGTATTGACAGATCTACATTGCAAGTTACTTAGCACACTGTTTAGCTGATAAATTTAACACATATCATATCCTCATAATCATTTCACCTGTCTCTCGTTAATATAAAGCAGTCACCTGGTTAGTATTTTAAATTTCTTTCTTCATAATTTTCTTTATAACCATTTGATTAAAATGGAAATAATCACATGAATATATACAGTATTGTAATTTTGAAAATAACGAGGCCACTTTGTGCTTGTATTAGATTATTTGATGCTGAGTTATTTATAAAATAAGAATGTGAAGGTACGCGTATGTATGAACCCAGAAATCAGTCCTAAGATATCTCATCCAATCTTATCTACATGTAGTTTCATGTACTGTACATGTACCAGACTGTGTATCCCCCAGCCTCAAATTAATTTCATTTCTAATACCATTTTAATTTAACTTGTATCTTCTAGGTGGTCCCTAACCACAAGGAACAGGACTGGGGCCCAGAAAGCGAGTATGCTGGAATATTCCACTTTCATTTCTGGCGGTATGGTTGTTGGGTGGATGTGGTAGTGGATGATTTACTGCCCACAAAGAATGGAAAGCTGGTGTTCTGTCATTCTAAAAACAAGAATGAATTTTGGAGTGCTTTGCTGGAAAAGGCATATGCAAAGTAAGTGGATTTAAACATTTTTGGATGTCGTTATAACACTTTAAAAAATGTCTTATGAAGTATAAATTTATGTTAGTTACATATGCATCAAAGCATGAAATGGGAAATGTGGATAACTCCTTTTGATAATCTAAGGATTATATCCAATCGGCAAACATTTCATTAATTAGATTTACTGGTAAAGCAACTGTCTGGTAACATACTATTTCCAGTTTTATAGTAATACGTAAACACTGTAATTACATTCATATTTCTGTGTACAGCAAGGTGACCTTGACAGACACTAAATACAAGCAGGTACACAGAAAAAGTATTGTCATATATATATGTACATATATATATGTATATATATATAATTTATGTATGTTAAGCAATTATCTTGACATGTTTTTTATTATGTGAGCATAAATCTTGACATAATTTTCACCTGGCATTAATCACTTTAGGCTCTATGGTGACTATGAGACACTAAAGACAGGGTACCCTGCAGATGCCCTGGTGGACTTCACTGGGGGCGTGGCAGAGAAACTGGACCTTATGCAATATGGAGTTAGGCAGAATGAGGATGACAAAATGGAGTTCTTTGAAGAGCTGTTGGATGCCAGTGAAAATAGTTCTCTGATTATTGCTACAATTTCTGTAAGTGCATTGTATTAGGCGTATCGTTAGAGATCTATTGACACTATATCACACCAACCATAATGTCACTTGAAGCTAAAAAAATAAATTTCTTTTTCTATTTATAAGGTGCATATCCATAACACAGAACATAAGAAACTATTGGAAGTTAAGCCTTCATAAAAATTATTTCGCTAAACTATTTTTTGCTGCTCATTGATATTTTAGTGCCCAGAAACTGATGTGGGGCAGTCAGGAAGACAGGGTCTAATGAAGGGGTATGGTTATGGCGTCACTGCTGTTAAAAAGATAAGTGTTAACAAGGGTCTCCAGGCAGCCACAGGGTCAGGCACCTTGCTCATGCTTCGGCTCAACAACCCCTGGGGGACCCAGGAGTGGACAGGTGCTTGGTCTGACCAGTGAGTAGCCTAATTTAAATATGCTCTGATCACAGATAATGTACAACTATTGAGACATGCCCTGAGTGTCAGGGCCACTTTGAAGCTAAATTGTTGACTATTCAAACCTGTTCATGGGCTTCAGCAGTGGCCCTGAGGAACAGTGGTCAAAGCTGTGACGTACGAGACTTATGATTTCCAAATATGGAAGCGCCCCAGGCAAAATTTTGACAAACACGCCCTCAATCTGCCGCTAGTGGCTAGAGTTTCGTATTGCTGATATGGGTTATATATGAAATCAAGATCGAGCTGGCAATACGGAAATCTACAACTTAGGGTATTGAGACAGTGTTCTGGCATTGTGAGGCTACTAGTGGTTTGATGTAACTTTGTTGTCAGTCGTTAGGTGGTCTTTGTCATTTGCCTGTTGCTCTTTCCTATTGAATTCCACTAAAAGCTTGACTGTTTGGCCATTGTGTACGTAAATGGTGTAATTTATGATTCATTATTTGCTTTGATTTCTTGTGCAGATCTGAAGAATGGAAAAATTTGTCAGAGGCAGAAAAGAAGAAGTTAGGGCTAACATTTCAAAATGAAGGAGAGTTTTGGTATGTTTTTATCTTCTGTGAAATACCTGATATTTTAATCCATTGAAATGTTAGCAGTTAACATTGTATTATTCATCACAATAATCTGCTTAATGATCTTAAATATAATCAGATATTGAGTCAGTACATAGTCTTGCAGTACATTTTCTTCTTTTTTGTAAATCACTGTGAGTATTTGGATATCTTAACACCTAACGCATTTCCGTTAATTTCAGAATTGATGTTTTTTTACATCTTACAGGCTTAAACTGTTTATTTTTCTTAAAACAGGATGCGTCTGGATGACTTTATCCAGTACTTTGAAAATGTGGACATGTGTCATTTTGTCAACACGTCTTTCTTCTCCCTGAAGAAGACCTGGTATGAGTCACTCATGCCTGGAGAATGGACCCAAGGAGCAAGAGGGTCTCCTCAGAACAGAAGTGGTGGAGCATTCCACAATAAAGATTCATTCCTGAATAACCCTCAGGTATCTCACACCTACTAGTGGAATATGAAGGTCACAACTGAAGCATTTCCCACATTAGTATTAGGGACATAAAATGACCAATTTCTGAATTAGTGGTTACTAGGTCTAAAATGTGGTACACCTACCATATTGTAGACCTTACTAAAAATATCACAGCTAATGCAACACAATGTCATGGTTGAGATTAAATTTTTCAACAATGAATAAGTTTCACAGTGTTTTCGTTTGACTCTATTTGGCACTAGTTTAGACATTTAAATTAGATTTAAATAACTTTTTTTTAATTAAAAAAGTATTGCCTATAGTTATACATAAACTCTGACGTAAACAAAAGTCAGAATTATGTAGAATTCTGGAATGTACCAAATTCAAGACATTATTAATAGAACACTCATGCACCAAATTGTCTGATGGTTTCTTACTATTTTTATTATCATCATATTAATCTTGATTTTCAGTTTGTATTTGACATCAAAGAGGATACAGATACTGCTATGATTTCATTGGAACAAGATGACAAAAGAGCTGATAAGAAGATAGGGGGAGAGCATCTACAGATTGGGTTTCATATTATGAAGGTGAGTTGATTTCTGTATGTTGCAATACTATTTTGTCTCAACAAATAAAATTGACAAGATCTGTCTTTTATCATCATTATTTTTTCTAAAATAAACTTGAACCTGTGCTTGTGTTAACAAATTCTGTTTATTTCCCTATGACTGAAGTTATCTATTTAGGCTAAAAAGAATTGTATTTTTGCCAATTTTGAAAGTGCCACAGTCATACATGTGCCAGTCATTCATATTCATAGGCTTTGACCTATTATTAAAATTCATAAGAATTGACCTGTTTTTAAAGGCTCAAATACAATATATGAATTGTGGCACATGGATTTCGTACATGATGAATTCCAGGTTGAAGAGAACAGGAAATATAGGGTTCACATCCCTGGAGAAAAATGTGCCGAGACAGATTTCAAGCAATCCAGAAACATTTATGGAAAATACGTTCTGAGGCGTGGACGTTATGTGATTATCCCCTCAACTTATAATCCCGGTTCTGTAGGGAAATTCTTACTGAGATTATACACAGGGGCCAACTCCAGCTCCAAGTAAGTTAAACACATTTTTGAATATGCAAATGCACAATTTATTTTCATTTAATGTTTAACTTAACAAATCTAGAACACAGTATTAATTATAATATATCAATAGAATTTCTTACACCTACTTGTAACAGATACTTGGCTTACTGTGGCCTAATTTTAATTTATACTTTAACTTATATTATGAATGGATACAAAATCAGCTTAGCTAACCTTTTCATGAAATTATATTAATCATATTAATATTCAATTCACATTCCCTTTTGCCTCAACCAGTATCAGGTAAAGTTGAATAGAAAATAGGGTGTAACCTTTTAGATAATTTTGCAACTTTTAAGTAGAATAATTGCTGGTGTTTATAGCAACCTCATGTCTTTGCGTTAGTTATCAAAGCTTTTTACATGTTTGTGTCATATATATTTCTTTTTATGTTTAGTTTGTAGCTTTTTAAAAAACTTTATATTCTGATAGATGGAGAAAAGCAATGTGCAGTTATATATACAAGGTCTTATAAAAGGTCTTAGTTCTGATTTTTATATTTAGATAACTATTAAAAACACAAGAGTATGTCAATCAGAATTTAAATAAAAAATTTAATATTCCAGAAAATATTTTACAGATAGATTATATAAATGTTTTGTGTTTGAATTCAAAAGCTACCAAACTTCATAAAATGAAGATAGTGTCATATTTAATTTTTAAAATCAACATATAAGGACAGGGTGCAGTATGCTTTGTATGTGCAGTATTTACTTATTTTCCCAGTGATCATCATTGATTCTGCATCTGTAATCATCTTTTCTGTAAAAAAACGCATTGTGTTTGTATTCTCAACTAACACACTGTGTGTATATTCACAGAGAGCTGACAAAGGAAGGGCCAGAAAGAAGCTGCTGTATCTGTATAAAACAGCCTCAGATAGTGCTCACCATCACCATCATAAAGGCACGTGACCTGGAGAAAAGGGATAAAGATAAAAGTCCAGGTAAATCAAGAAATTTTACTATTTACAATTTAAGAGTTCAATTCATCAAATTAACCAGTCACACTGTTCTCCTTTATGCACAAATTTTGGTGTGTGTTTTTCAGGAGAGCCAAATCCGTATGTGGAGATAAAATGTGAGGGAGAAACTGTGAAGGCACCGATAAAGAAGAATACAGCTGTGCCAGAGTGGGGAACAATGGCAACTTTTTATCTCAAGAAACCAGAACAACCAATCATTGTTGATGTAGGCTTATTATGATGTATTTATATTACCTACAAGTTATTTCATTGTTAATTCTATCAATTTTTCTATAAATTAAACATTACCAGGACCAGTGACTAGAATAAATGTATCCTAGCAACAACATATTATCTATACCACTTAAACTGGATTGTCGTAGTAGAATTTGCCTTTAGAATGACATTCTGATAAAAATTGTTCACATACAAGCACAAATACAACCATAAGTTTTATTTGTGATTTCAATTCACTAAAACCTGGTGGGTACTATTTGATATTGTTTATTTATAGAAATGCCTATTTTATATATTTATTTTTATATTTTTAAGGTTTTCAACCACAAAACCTTGCTTGATGAGTTTATAGGGCAGGCCACCATTCCTGACCTGGGCACTATGGAAGGGGAGGAAAAAGAATACGATCTCTTTGGAAAGAGCAAGAAGGAAAAGAAAGAGGGAACAAAATATCCTGGCTCGCTTAGAGTTAGGCTACAGTCCAGCTATGACTTGACTGACCTGTGATATACTGGTATTATATATAGTATTGGTACGCCTTTGGTCCATTACCTAAAATTATTCAGTTGTAAGAGGCCATTTATACCAATAATCTTTCACATTTTAGGAAATGTTACTGCAGTTACATTAAATACAATATTCTACATGTAAGTGTGTCAGATATTACAATGATAGAATTTACACATATTGGCATCCTTCATGTATTTATACCTTTCAAAAGTGAATTCAGTCCATTTACAACCTACCCACTGTGATATTACCTATATTTACAGTGAATTATTTACGATTATTAACAGTTTTAAATCATAACACTTACATTTCACACAGACATAAGAGTAAAAGAATAAGATTACAACAGGTAAGTTTTAATTATAAGCTTTAACATCAAGCAATGGACTAATTGATGGTCCAGTATTTGTTATTAAATCAAAAAGAGATTTTTTTTACTAAACAGGGATGCGCTGTGTGTTTTTATATATCAACAAATCATATACTGGAGAAAGTATGTAATCAAATGACAATGATATTGCTGTGATGCCTAAATAGATGTATGCTGAATAGTTTGTCCTGTTAGATGTAGTAGGGCGCTACTCTAAGTGCTTTTTATATCCTTGTGCCATTGTGACGGTGCAAGAACTGTTAAACTTTGCCGTACTCATTGATGATTTTATCTGAACCTTTGAGGTGTGAAGGTTGGTATACAAACAGTATTGACCCATCAACTCCGAGCCAATATTTTACGGGCCACCATAGGGCCATGTGAGGAACCAGCATGTACTGATCTCTCAACTCTGCAGGCTGATCGCAGCCTCAGTGTCTGTTTGGCCAGCTTTGAACTGAACATTGCATTTTCAGAATTAAGGTCTGCTTTTATCTCTAAACTTTGACTTATCATTGGGTTGTGAAGGTACCCAGCAGGCCAACACCAAACAGTAAGTTGTATCCGTCCGTCCACAGCACAGGCTTGACCAAATATGGACTAATTGATGGTCCAGTATTTGCCTAAATGCAGAGTAGGAGGAGCCCAAAATATGTAATGCTGGAATTCCAAATACACATTTTTTTCCATATTTATACGGATATTTATTGTTGGTAGTCACTTATAATTAGAGGTATATTTTTGTGATGTCAGATTGTATGTATGAAATGATGAAACTAATACATGGAGTATTCTCTGCCATGTTTTAAAACAAATTTACAGAGTATAAGCAACTTATATGTGTATACACCTTTATTGGTGAGGATACTGTACGTTTTAAGTGTTTACGTTCTTGTGAAATGTGATAAGTACCAAAGTGAAACTATTTATATGTGTGTGTGCAAGTCTGCTTATCATGCTTCTATTTTCTGTTATTTACAATTTATTACTCACCCATTTTTCAGGTGATATCATTTTCTCTCGTCCAAGTTAGACGTAATATAACTGTACATTTTAACTGTATTTGAATGTAAAGCGTTTCAACATCAAAAGGTTCTTTCAACATTTGGTTGTTAGATTTGTGTGAAGACAGTTGCTGGCAACTTTTCTGTACAAACATTCCTTTTTACAAGTCTATCTTATCCGTTTTGCATAGATATCAATAAAGGTATTTTTGAAAAGTCTGCTTTATTTGTCCTTTTAAAAACTTAAAACCACGGTGAAAGTAAATAGAGAAGCCCAAGTAGTTTTATGACATTTCATTATTGATTTATTTTCAAGTTAATGTCATTCCCCCCCAAAATTAACAATAATCCATCCTCTCAACATAAAGGATGTCGATAACCTTGCCCCAACCATATTGATTTCTGATCAACATTTTTACACAAATATAGGCCTTTTTTTCACAAATGTATCCAACTAATCTACAAATATTTTAAATACGCACAGCTTAGAAACTTTATAACAGTAACAGGGATTTCCAACAGACATTTATACCACATTTACTTCGTCCTTAATTCATACATAAACAGTGCTTGTATATCCTTATACAATAGTCATGAAAATGTACCTCCTTTTTCTAAACAATGCATGAGGAGCATTTATAGTAGTTAGAAATGTAATACCACCTGGCATTTTTCGAATGATTCAGACATTACATAGAATATTACAAGAAAGCATAAAGATAAACTTAAATGCATGCTAACAAACTTAAGTAGAAAATTTTGCAAGATGGAAAATTAATTGAATTAATAAATTAAGGAGTAAGATGTACATATATGGCACAATATCAAGAAAATAATCATGTGGCAAAAAATGAAACAAGGCGTATAGTTTGTAACAAACTCATTTTCGTAAATAGTTTGCATGCTTGGATAGGGTAATATAGTGATCATTTAAAGCACACAAGAGAACCATAATGCCATTCCATAATATCACACCTAAATATCCAGACTTCTGCATAAAATGCTTGAACAATATAACATTATTATATAAGAAAATAAGTTTATTTTAGCTTACAGAATAATGCTAGAAAACTGGCTATGAATTGATTATTATAAATATTTTTCATTTTCTTTCGACAAAGTTATCTCTCTTTTAACAAACTGAAAGTATAATAAAAACATTATTCAAAAAATCTTTTTACTTGTATTGTTACTCACTGGTTAATATTTCAGCAATTAATTTGTATTTTTAATAATCATTTTTAAGTTCTTGTGGTAAAAATTTATGGCAGGAAATATTCTTAAAAAGAAACTTTTGTGCTAGAAAAGTCAGTGAGCAGTACAAGGAAATATACATATTATCAGCTTCATGTATCCCTGTATTTTAATATATTTTGACATTTTAAATTTATCAGGCTGTGTGTTTTAAGAGAGTTCTGGTCTCATCTTCACTGAGATTATCTTGGTGACATTCTCCCTCAGTGCCTTCTCCATCTGGTTCTTGAATGGAATTCTGAGGAGCACCATTTGTTTTCTTAAAACAAAAAAATATATAAATATACATTTATGATACAGAAAATATCAAATTCAGGAAAAAAAGTTACCATTAAAATCCCATGAATGAAAGCAAAAACTGTTTTACACAAAAAAATCCTCCATTTGTTCCATTATGTAATAACATTTACTCCAACAGTTTTAAATTCACAACCAAAAGGCAAAGTGGTTGCTAAAAAAAACGTATGTGATAAACTGGAAAGTGGGGGTGGGGATGCAAGCTAGTATGAGAAGGAAAAAAGGCTAAATATGCCACTTTATTATTAAAAGCAGTAGCTCCCCTTCCCAAAAATCTATATGTAACAGTGGCTGTAATAAATGATGTGCAAAGCTGGAGTCTTTTGTTATGTATTTGCAAATTATCAATCTTTTCTCCAGAATGTCAAACAAGCCATCAATCAATATTCTTTGGATTATGTGATAGGTATTTAAGCAAAGGTTGAAAGTTTAACTGCTATAGTGATAGCTTGGTAGGAGCAGACAATGTGTTAGCTGTGGCAAAATACAACAGATCCCACTGGAAAATCATCTTAGAAGTAGCCATTCAGAGACACAAAAAAAGATATTTAGATAAGCCTGTATGAAATACAATGTTTAAAGCGTGAATGTAGGTTAAAATGTGGAAACTAGAACAGTTTGAAACTGTGGTGACAGCAACTAACCACAAAGAAGTTAAGAATATCAATGCATGTGACTATTCACCAGATCCCCTTTCCATAGATGACGTAGCTCTCCCCTGGCCCAGCCAATCACAACAGTTGTCCCAACTGTGCAAGGTACAAGGTACAGCAATGCAGGTTGGCCAATTTCCATAAATGCCAGAGCCATAAAACATATGATGAGCCCCAATCCATAAGCTGCAAAGAAAATCAAAATTGTAATTAAAACAAATTTTGTTGAAAATAGTGAGATGTGAACAAATTTTGTTAAAAAGGCATAAAAAACAATTTACATTTCCCTCTTTATTCATCCTTGACTTGGATTTATACATGCTACTGGACATTTATCATTATCCTACTGTATATTTGCACAACAAATTTTAAATATAATTTTTTGGTTTTAAGAAGGCAAGTTGAAGACCTACCAAATATATGAATTACTTACCAATAGTTGTGGAAATAAAATATATTCTTTTGCTTTGGACTTTCAAGTCAAATGCATAGCAGTATGCTACAAGCAGTCCTGGAATATAAAATATATGAAGCTCAGGGTAGTTTTAATCCATCATCTATTTGTATCCATGATACTATATTATGTAACATCCAAAAAATAACAAATTCCATATTGGCCAAACTTTGTTTCATTCAGGATGAATGCCAGAAACCTATGATGCTTTCAGTGCCATGTTAGTATGCACAGATACATATTAATGGTAACCACCTATAAAAATGATAAAAAGGTAGCAAAAAAATAATGTTGATAATGTACTCAATTAACCATTCAGATAATCTTCATACCTGGTACAATGATGTCTCCAAACCCAAGTAATGAGTATGGAGAAAGAACTGGGCAAATGTTGGTATATTCGGATGTAGACAAGTGAGGTATCTTCAACACCATTGGAAGCTAAAATAAGCAATTGAGGCAATAATGTTAGAATTGCCTTTATTGATTTTGTTTTTGAATGTCTGGTAGTTAGATAATTATAAATCATGGTAGTTAGGTAATTATTAATCATTCAATGTTAGAGTTTTATAGAATCTGATATACTGGTCACGATGAGACAGACCTGCTCTCCTGTGCGACTGCTGCCTCCAGTGGCGACATCTACCATAATGCTGTCACCTGACTGGAAAAATAATTGAAAGAGAAATAACTTTTTCATAAGTAAGAATAGCAACTTCATATATTACTATAAATGCTACAAGTTGGTTTAAGTCATTACCCCAAAACAAAAAGAACTTATTAAACACGAGCAGGCAGGGAGACACACATACACACACATACGGGCACAGACAGACAATTTTGGTTTGAATCCAAATCATAATTAAATAATATAAAAAGAAGACACTGAGAAAATGCTTTGATCAAATACATTGAAATACAGACTTACCTTAGTCAGAAGAGGAGTGATGAAGACAAAGAACACATCATATAGCAACAATAACCCCAACAGAATTACACAACCCTAAAATTTAAAAAAAAAATCATGATTATCATAGTCATTTTTCATACCAAGAATGTAAATACCAAGATTATCAGTGTGACAATAAAATTCCATTTACACCACTTATTTAATTCAAATGCTCTAGAGGTACTGTATTTAGTATTTGGTCCCAGTTCTACAGTAACACTGATGTCAACTAGTCTTAAATGATTACAGTGTGGACCCAGGGAGGGGGGGGGGGAGGGGAAAGAAAGGTTGGGGGTCTTTATCTTGTTGAGGTCAGAATGTTTTTCATGAGCAATCAGTGAAGCTATAGAAGCAGCTCAGAAATCTGTTTTAAACATGACTGAGTAGCAGGTGCTGGTCAGAAGTTAAAAGTGGTGCAATATGTTTGGTGTGATATATATGTTGGGAGGATTGCAAGGTAGTACTTACCATAAAATGTGGCAGTCTTACAGTTTTCAACATATTGATGCAAAAGGCAACCCCAAGGATATCTTGAAAGATCCAAGCATAACTACAAAAATAGTAAATTTAGCAAATTTGTGCTCTGTTTAACGCTGAAAAAATTCCAGTTATGTGATGAGAAGTAAATGTCTCAAACTATGAATTTCAACTTGAAATGAATCATTTATGTGATTAAGTGTGTTTCGAGGAAACAAATTATGATAAGTTATGGATAAACTCTTTATCTATTAAATTTACTTGGACAAAAAAGTTTTGTGTTGACATATACTACTAGATGGAGTACCACATATCAATGAGTTGGATGTCATACTGCATGAACATAGAAGACATTGCAGATGTTTGTACCTTGGGTTTTCACCAATGTGCTAATAGTAATGTTTACCTTGCTTTTCTCTCTATGGCCCAGAATATCCCCAGTCCTAAACATGCAATGGCTAGTATTATTGCACGGATCTCTGGTTGATACTTAAATACAGGGAGATTATTTGGTGGAATCCTAAAAGAAAAAAATATAACAAACTTCAAATAATCAATATCATTATCCACTATCGCATGACCAGGGCCTTAAATTCATTGAAACATCAACTATTTCGAATTTAAACTAAAACATGACTGTGTAACTAACTAATAACTTCAGTGGTTTTAGTTTCCTGTTAGAAAAGCTTCCTAGGTATGTTCTCTACCTCCGAATAAAACACTTCACAAGACACACACACACACACACACACACACACACACACACACACACACTTACCTACAATTTCCTAAAGATGTCTTAGACATAAGTGCCTCTAAACAGAAGTACAATCCACATGATGAAGCTATGACAAACAACCCAATCAGCACGTATACTGAAAGTTATTAAATATAGTTCAGAAATAAGTCTTTAGGAATAATATATATACATTATATATTGTGATAGGTTAGAACAGTGCATTAGATACAGAAGGATATTTGTTTAAAAAGTATGGCATCTACATCCTTTGAAGAAAACTTGTGTGATTTTTGTCTTCACCTACTAATACATTACTCAGTTCAATCTATATTTAAAAAATCTTTACACAAAATGTTACTCAAACATAATCAGTTACCCTTTATATCACAAACTAATATGTGTGTGTGTGTGTGTGTGTGTGTGTGTGTGTGTGTGTGTGTGTGTGTGTGTGTGTGTGTGTGTGTGTGTGTGTGTGTGTGTGTGTGTGTGTGTGTGTTTCTTTTTTTTTTTTTTT